GTCAATCTTTGGCTAGGATTAACAAACTAAGCTGTCGGCGGGGTCTTGGATTGCATCTCAATAAGCATTTTTCTCATCTCCTCGAGGCTCTCAAATCGATCATCCATTCAATTCTTCGCGGAAGAAAACCTCTCAAGACAACCCTTCATTTGGTTTTCCACAGAAGAAAACATAACTTCTATGGTGGCAAACCTTTCTTTCATCTCGAATTTAAGCTAACTCGACTCTTCCTCTAATTTATTCTCTAAATCATCTAATTTCTTAGCTATCATTACTCCTTGTACGGTTTCAGAACTACTTTATGTTGAAATCATGAACTTTAGAATTTTTGTACGTGGTTTTGACATGTGCAAAGCTCTAGATGTCGCGATTAATGAATTCCTATAAGTAGTTTTGCGATTAGAAGCTGTGTGGAACTCCAGACACTGTGATCCAAATTCTTGTATCAAGGTTCAACGTGTAACTCCTTTATGCCACGATCCTGATTCGTGTTTTGGATCAGGACGGCGTGGAACTCCCATACATCTCTACGTTACCTTCTCAGCAAGCACTAATTGTATATGTATCGTTCAGACGCAGCGGGAGGAGCAAGATGTGTTTGATCTCTTCGACAACAAGGACTGGACGTCGCGATCTCGTTGATGCTTCCCGCTTGTTCGATTGCACATCGCAATCCCGTTGATGCTTCCCCGTGAGACTTACGTGCGGCCGTAAGGAGGAAGATGGCGTCGCTCCTCAATCACAAAAGATGCTTTCCGGTTGTCGGTTCCAACACTATATGTCGGAATCGCAGCTCCTGCACTGCTCGTGAATGTTGTGATCCCGCCGTGGCTTTCTGCTCCACAATCTAATTCCCAAAACTTGCTTTAATACGATTCAATGTCAAAATCGACACATTTTTTCATAAAAAATTAGTGTAAACAAAAAATTTATATCTCGAATACCAAATCAAAACAAAAGATAAGCACCTACAATTCAAGAGATAGGCGATCTCTCTGAATTTCTACAATGTGAGATGAAGGAAATCTCTCACAAACCTTAAACCTAAGATACAATGATCAATCTCATGCAAAAACCTAACCTTAAACATAATAAATTTGTTTATACCCAACAACAACAATAATAATAATAATAATAATAATAAAAGACTAAACTACCCTTAGGTGCATAAAAGACAAAATTGCCCTTATGCTAAGCACCGGCGTAACAAAATACCATCCGGTCCTACTATTTTTCTATAGTTCATTTTATTTAAAGCCTCCTCAACTTCTAGTTTACTTATGTGCTGATAGAAATAAAAAAAACTTTGTTGTTATTTACTATATTAAGATCACTAAAATCAATCGTACTTTCACAATATTCATTGAAATTTTATCAAAATATCCCACACATCTATGTTGAATATCCTCATCTAAGAAAAAAAAAAATTTTCATTCTTAATATAATTTGTTTCAACTAAATCTTTATTTTAATTACCTTTTTATTATACTAGTTTATATATATATATATATATATATATATATATATTGAAAGCCCAAAAAAGACTAATATATTAAATAGAAAAAAAGATACAGATGCAATGTGTGGGAGCGCCCAAGCATGACACCCTGTCCACACAAAAAACCACAAAAGATTTCAAAACTAGAAAAAACAGAAAATATATTAGATACTAAAATAAAAAGTTTACAGTGCCGAAATACATAATATCAGGTGCCTAGAGAGCGACCAAATTTTGTCTTGCCTCTGTCTCTAGTTTTAGGGATGGATCAAGCTAATAAGTTGGTAAGATGATTGTCATTGCCAGTAGTAACCAATGTATCATCCAATATGTTCCTGAGTTGGAGTCGGTCTCCATTCTTATTCTTCCTCCTGGAATAGACTTGTCATTCCTCATCCGAAGAAATCAGTCTGATGGGGTAGTAGAGCTGAAGCAGAAGGAATACCAATCGTAGTACCCACAATAGGTTGTAGTATATGTGAAGTATGAGTTGTCTCTACATCGGATATTTCCTGAAGAAATAGAGCTACGAGGCTCTCTTGATTATCAGTCTGAACACTATCATTTGTAAGTAATAATTTATCAGTATTATTTTCAATGGGGTTTGAAGGTGTCAGCATCACATCACTCGCAGTAAAAGTAATGGCAGGGGCAATAGAATCAGACACCAAAATCTGTCTTGTGGTAGTTTTCTCTCCATATGGTATAGACATATCCTTAGAACCATCCTTATTCACTTGATATTTAGATTTCAAATTAGGGTGAAGCTTATGACATTTATCAAGAGTATGCCCAAACATCTTAAAATGAGAACAATAAGAATGTATATGCTCCATGACGATTCGTTGTCAATATTCATTATAAATTGTGTCCAACCAGACTTCAGTAACATCATGCAAAATAATATCTCTTTCCATAAGTATTCTGGTCACAAAGGCCTGGTAAGATTGAAAGTGGGTAGATCTAGCTTCATAGGGTCTCCAAGTATGGCACTAATAGAGTAGAGAACCTGATGATGAACAAAATGCAGCTTGACACCAGTTAAACTAAACCATATAGTACAGTAGGAGGTTCATGATTGGAGTCAAAATCAGGAGACCACTTGAGTAGCTTCATTGGTTTACCAGCAATGTTAAGATATTTTTTGGAGAAAATACGAGTGTAGTCTTCAGGCACGGTTAACTGAATTAAAATATGTCTCACATTCATGAGTCACACTTTCCACTTTTCTGCTAATTTGAGGTCATCAAAACTTTTCCTGATAACTTTCATAGTTGGGTGTCCCCACTAAAATTTTCCAATGAGAGCAAATTTGAATTTGTCAGTCAAGGTTGAAATTTCTGACTCAAAGAAAAATAGTGTTGTCTTCTCACTCTTCCTGCATGCAGTCTTAACAAAGAGGCAGTCTCCTGTACCATCACGATTCTCTTTATGACTTGAGGGGAAGACAACCGTCGTCTCCCCCTGAGGATTACCCACAATGTGGGCAAAAGAGGTTTTACTGGGCTCAACCGAAGGAGGAAGCTCCATCACAGCAAAGAAAAGCCCTGCAAGTCGGGCAGAGGGCAAAAAAAGACGATTCAGGGCGAAGCTACGCAGAAAATGAACCGTAGCGGCAATCTCAGCAAACCGCAGCTAGATGAGGCAGAAGACACGAACAACATAAATGGTGCGAAGGAAACGACGAAACCGCAAAATCTGGAAGAAGCTGTGGTTTCGTCGTTGGGTGCAAAGCAGCACGAGGGAGGAGCAGCACCGAAACAGAAGAATCGGGCGTAGACGACAGCTGCGAGCGACAGAGGCGTGGAAGACGACGATGTCGAGCAGAGGAACGATAGCGACAGAGGAAGAAGACAACGCGAGCAATGGATATCGCGACGCAAGCCGCGACAGAGAGTGCGAACGTCGACTTTGACGTAGATGCAGATATATATATTATCTTTTTTAGTATCAAATTTATTATAACGATCACTAAAATCAGAATTTTTATCATCTCAAATCACTATTTCAGACTCCCTATGGCCACCTTATATTTTTTTTAACATCTCCTAGCTTTTCGTTTTTAAACCAATTTTTATTAAAAAATTTCTTATTTCTTATATTTTCTCACCAACTAATTTTATTCATAAGAGATTTTTCTTTTGATTCACTATACATATCTTTTACATTTGTTTGATAATATTTGTTATTTTATCCTACATAGTATTAATTTCTTCATGAACATTAACTTGAAGTTCACTCATAAAAATAATTTTATTTGTGTCTTTTAAGCATTCTACCTAATTTTATGATAATATTTTATTATATTTTTCACATTTTTAATAATTCATCTTAAAATTCAAAATTAATAATCGATGTTGGGTACTTAAATTTTCACTTAGAATTAATGGTCTTACAATATTTACAATATCGATAATTTATTTTTCTCGTAAAAAAATAATCAATATATTTTATTAGAACCGTTCTTAAAAGTGATAATATGCTTGTCTCTTTTCTTAAATAACACATTAGAAATAATAGAATCATAAATTAAAGCAAAACCCAAATGACTCTACTTTCTTCATTTGTCACTCAAAAATCTTAACCACCATGAATACTTCTACAATCTTCTACCCTTCTACAAACATGTCCATTTAAATCTCCTCCAATAAAAATTATTTATTCAAGAATTATCATTTGTATTAATTCTTCTAAGTCATTCCAAAATTTCTCTTTTGAAAATATATTCAAACCTACTTAGGGAGCATAAATACTTGTAATATTAAGAATTTTAGTATCAACAATAATCTTTAGAGCTATAATTTTATCTCTAATTCCACTAATTTTTACAACATTATCTTTCAAACTCTTATATATAATTACACATACATCATTTCTAGTACGACTCTAACTTGAATACCAAAAGTTTAAAGCTTAACACTATCAATCGCCTTAGCTTTTTCTCTAACCCATTTAATTTCTTGAATGTATAAGATACTAAATTGAACACATGAGATAATATAAAACAAAACAAAACCGCATAAATAGTCCAAAGACATTTTGACATTTTTTTATCTTTCATTTTTCATTTTCATTTTCATTATTAATTAGTTTTAAGCCCAAGGAATGTTTGCTTGCATTTTAAAAAAAAAACAGATAGTGGAATTGATTGACGGCTTTATATACCATGAATGCTCAATTTCCTTTGCATGAAAGTATATTGTGTCATACCAGTTGCACAAAAATTTCTAACCATAAATCATCCTGCATCACAGGTATAACATTTGTAATGACTAAATGACAATCTGCTCAAGTTAATCTAAGGAAAGAGGTGATGCATCGAGATCAATTGCTGTTTGAGGTTGCAAGATTAATCGAGAAAGTACATCCAAGTGGTAAAAGTTACATATATAATCAGACATTGAAGTGCCTTTAAGCAAATGACAAGTAGAAAACAAACATATATCTGCATGATTTACCAATATCCATTCTTATAATCACAACAAGAATACATGGAACTCACTGAAAGAGGGCGCAACAAAGAACCGGCAACATAAGATGGAATGGTCAGGACGACAGCCTTTGTATCAACTGATACCATTCCTTCTGGTGTTTCGTAAATTAACGTATATCCCAAACCATCTCGTTTTTTTATGCTAGTAAGGTTCCAAGACAGTCTAATTTTGCTGCCCAACCTGAAAAAAAATGTCATATACATCCACAAGCAGACAGGCAACAGAGATATGGAGAACAAAAGTTCGTTAAAAATATAAGGATACCATTAGTTGGAGAAGACACCTAAAAAGCATAGACTCTATGACATTTAAAATTCATTCACAGTTACAATAGCCTTCTAAATCAAATAAGTAAAAAATAGAGTAAAATCGTACTCAAATTGTATCATAACTTGCAAGTCACAAACAACAAAAACAATGATAGCAAAAACTCAAAAAGCATTTCAGCAAAAAGCTATGACACCACCAAAAAAAAACAAAAAGAAAAAAAAGGCAATGAGTGGTAAAACAGATGGCATTGCCTTTGTCTTCCAAATAAAATGAAAGAGTTACAATCTCTTACAAGAATAACCATAGTGCATACATTGGCAACAATGTCTCCGTCGTGCCCTTGCATGTTTGACAATAACGCCAGAAGTTTTTCCCTTATTTAAATTTCAGTAAAACCTTTTGCTATATATTAAAAGTGTCGGAAACTGCATAACATAATGTAAAATATTTTAACAGCATAAGTAGGGTATATCTTCGTGCTTAAAGCGGGGTGCAATGAAAAAACAAATGAGAAAGTTAAGGGATGCAGTACATAAGCTCCCACAGACGAAGGACAAGACAATTGGTTGGTGTAACTAAAAAGTATACAAAGAGGTAAGAATATAATTTTATTAGAATTTTTTGTTTAATTATTTCAATGATGTAAACTAATTAATTTGGGGATTAAAAACAAAATACCTTAAACATATTGCATTGGGCAACATAGAAAGACCTTTCGTGAAAGATCCGACAGTCTGTCCTTTAGGTTTTGGCAAACGCCTGCACTTAGATCCATGCCAACAATGATCGGCAAATCAAGGTAAATAAAATTATCTTGCCATTTAAATAGCCTTACGAATCTCGAGTTGGTTTTGGATTTTTATTCCTCTCTTGAAGTGCTTTAAGGGTCCCACCAATGATACTACCACCGCTCTGCTCCAATCTCCAAACTCTCCCGAAAGCTGCTTTCATACTAAGTTTTGAAGGATCACCAGCATAAACACCTAAGAAAGTAGAGACAACTTCAATCTTCTTTTAACAAAAGATAGATCTTCAACCATTAGATTAGTACAACATCATTAGTTTCTCATCAATTACTATCAAATTTATACTCAAAATTCAAATCATTCTGAGCGATTTTGCCAGGACAAAAATACAAAATTCAATTTTGGTTATGAAATTTTAACTGAAATTTCATATTTCATGGCCTGCCAATTATTGTGAGAATTAAGGAACCTTTGCCTCTTCCTCAATATGCTTGACATAAAGCCAAATTCCTAGCTGCAGCTACAGCAGGTTAGAATCTAACTTAGATAAAAAACAAAAATCAATAAATATATAATTAATTTTAAAAAATATATAACTATTTAAATAAGAAAATAAATAACTCACAGATAAATGTTCTTACAATCATATAATATAAATAAATACCAACAAAATTCTAAGTTCTAATTAAGAAATAAGAACGAATTATATCGAATCAATAAGCAAATTCACTAATAAATTAGTGAACTTTAAAAAATTAAACACAAACATTTACTTGAAAAAAAAATATTACATGGGAAAATACTTTTGCACCAACTTCTCAATTATTGGATTCAAAGCACATACCAATCCCTACCTACTTCAATCATCTTGCCCTCTAGAGCTAACACAACATGCTCGTATGCATGATCGTTGATATCTCAAATGCAGGACGGATTGAGGAGAAAAATAAAATATGTGCTCATATCTTGTAAACATGCATTCACGAGTCACAGAATCAATATACTCACTTCAACAAATAACCTTACATAAATGGGGAGAACTTAAAGCAACGGTATTTAAGTGTGGAAAAAAAGGTGGAATTACAAAAATAAGTGACAAGAATCGTTAAAATACCCTATATTAAAAAAATAATGTACATTATATTACTATTAAGAAAGTGAATAAATAACATTGTATTCAACCAAATTTTAAATAAATAATATACAAGCTATAATAAAGCTAAATGTTAATCCTTTAATAATGTTGAACAACAAAAAAACTTGTTCAATGACAAAAATAAATGAGTCAGGTTGAATTCAAGTTTATTTCATTTAAACTAAAAAAAAAATTGAAATTTATTTAATTACTAACTTGAGCAAAATTGAATGAGTTTTAATAAAGCCTAGTTTACAATGTTTATAAAGTACATCGGTTTACTTATAGCCTTAAATGTAATTTTAGTGGCCATAACATTAATAATTATCATTCGATATTCTTAGAAGATAAGATGATAATATGCTCGAAAGGTTAAAGTAACTTGTATCCATTATGAACAATAATTGAGGTATAAATTAGAATATAATTTTTAGTATTAAATTTTGATGATTAAAATAAATAAAAATATATATATCTCAAGAGGATTGTGAGATAATAGGATATCAAAGAGGTTTGATGATAAATTTTATAAAATTACAATTAGCTCTAATATGCTGTATGGATCTACGTATGGATCTAAATTCCTGTTTGTAAAATAGTCAGTTACATTTAAGTTGAGCGTTAAAAATGAGAATAGAAAAATAGTTTGAAAGAACTAAAAAGAATAAATGAATAATGACTGTATCGAAGAAAATGATTTAGTGATGATTTGGGTGAATTAGACGTGTCTAATGAATGATAGAAAATATGTTCATTAAATAAATAAATAAATATAATATCTGAGAATTGGGAAGCTAAAAGTACAAATGTAAGATTACATGGATACGAGTTGTTAGAAATTATTTAAGAATAATAAGTTTAAAAACTCAAACAACACTCAAAAGTGAAATAAAAATTCATAAAATCAACACTAAATAGCTGCCTTAAGCAAATGATGACGACAAAAAGGTGATTCAACAGTTAAAGAAATATATTATAATACACAAACATAGATATGTTTATTACAGTTTACAGATCAAAAGACATGAGATGGAACAATAGTAAAAGTGACATTCTATGCTAGATGGTTAGCCGAGAAGTCCTCAGAGCATTCCAGGTACAAGCACGTAAATAACCTAGAAAAGGAATGTCGCTCACCTGAACAAAATGGCTCTATCAAGCGTTCAAATACTTCGTCGCCAAGATTGCGCCTCACAAACTCTTCAACTGTTTCCTCATGTCCCTGAAACCTTTCACCTAAACTATATTACTTACCTTATGATTGTAAATGAGAAGTATATTGTTTGTTGAAAAGGTTAATGATTACAAACTGGTGGAGGAGGCCGTATGCCTATAGCACCAAATCCAGCTCTCAGTTTACCACCAAAGCTCATCAATTCAAAGAAGGGTATGTCAGTAGGTTTTGAAGGAACAGGAAGACGTTTGCCGTTCCATAGAACAAAGCGAGGCGCATTTGGATCACCTAGTACAAGATCATCCTTCAAACCGCTATCAACCTGTAATGAACTTACACAATGAGAAAACTGGAAACTAAAGAGGAAATAAAGTAAAATTATCTAAACCAAAATCAACAGATAAATCATCTGCCATCAATAATACAGTGGGCATAAGATAGAAAATCCGAAATTATATATCAATACATCTATATAAAAATAACTGGATGTCATTAGCATAATTTTTGTTATCAAAAACTTGCTCTGCATAATTATTTAAGGCTCAAGAAAATAATTTAACTAGTTTCATAAATCTTTTAATGATGCATCTTAATTAAGTGGATTTCTTTCAAGGTTTGTGATTTTTCCTTAAAACCATTAAATCTTATGGATAGTTTGATTTAATAAATCCTGGATCTGACAGATAATGAAGTTGTAGCGGGAGTTGTCAAAATAATAGGATTGAAAGTCTCAAAAACTACATTTGGCACGATTATGGCATAAGTAAATCTAGCTTAAAGTTTGCCTCAAATAAGATCTATATATCTTTATATTTTGAGAGAGAATAAATGATCAGGAATGACTGTGTGAATTTCATTCTAGATTTCTATATTCTTTGAATTAAAAAGTTATTGAATTGAATGTTTTAAAATCAGCATGCTGTAAACTTTCAAATCAACCTTAACGTCGTAAGCAAGCCAATACAAATCAAGGACAAAGCAACAACGCCTTAAATTTAAAAAGGGCAGAAGCTCCGTCTCTGGGTAATTAGTATGACTTCGACTTGTTAAAGACTGAACAGCAAAAAGTAAAGTTATTACTAAGGCCACCATCAACTCCCATCAGAGTACATACTCGACCATATTCTTAAGAAGCAAGGGCTGGTGACGCACTCAGTTTAGTTTTAGCCAAAGAAAGGACATGCGATTCAACCTATATGATGACACAAACGCAGCATTAAGCACGGAGTGCTGTTTCACAGTGGCTTTCTAAAACATGTGCAGTTCAAAGCAGATGCATACTTGAACCTCAAAAGGACGTGTAGACTCCAATGTTTCAAATGTTAACTACCACTCATTGCTAGAAAGCCAGATGTAGCATAAAAGTATGTGCATGGCAAGGAAATTCACTGATCTACTTAAATGTATGAGCCATATGCCCCATGGGCATGTCAGTTCGATGGACGAAAATGTCTAAAACCGAAACGCAAAAGGGTACAAGAATTGGGCATACCGCCATGGATAGAACCGCGTCAGAAGGCTGAAAGCTATTAGGCCCCTCCTCCCAGAGGTACCCATCTCTCTCCATGGTAATGATGTTGCCGCCAACGCGATCCCGAGCCTCCGTTACCAGAATCTCAGGAACCGCCCGGGCGTACCGCGTCGCCAGCGCCTGGGCAGTGCAGAGGCCGTTGATTCCCCCGCCAACAACAACGCAGTCAACGAAGATTCGACCACCGGGGGAACCATCGCCGTCGCCGCAGCCAACTGATACAGCCACCTCGCTCGTCACGGAGCAATGGACGGGCTGTCTAGGAAGACGACGGCGGAAGCGTACGCGGCCAGCGACAATGGGGCACGGCGTTTTGGTGGAAATACAGATGGCAGCTGCGGCCATGAGAGCGAGACCCTAAGGCGCTGTCTCGCAACGGATGAGATTTGAGCAATTAGAATTTATTTAAATTGTGAATGGGTTGAATCCGTAAATCCTGAATCAACGGATGAGTTTTGTGAAAGTCAACTTGTGTGCGCGATAACAATTTGAAATTGGAGAAATATTCATCACTATCGACCTTCTTGCAAAATTAGTTCAAATTTTACTTTGTATTGAAACATCTATGGTATTTTTATGTCGGCGTACTTACTCAATGATCAAGATTTATACTAATCAGAGTCAAAAAAGGTTATAAGAATGTTGAAATGATATAGTAATGAGATTTGGATCAATAAATGAATAGTGTTCAAATATTAATCAATTTTTATTCAAATAATTTTTTAATATTATTAAAATTATATTATAATCGATACGTACTAGAAAATTTGTGGTCATTGAGTAATGGATTGTCGTATTAGTGTTGCACGACAATTCAAAACACACTCAGATGAAAGAAAACAACCAGTTATGGCACCCGAAGTTTTATGTGGAAAAATTCGTAAGGGAAAAAACCACAGGGACTTGGCGCATTTGTAAAAATCTATTATGAATTGATGATTACAGAAATTCATTGTCCCACAGGCAGGAGAGGGTTATCAGATTTTTTCAAGTTACAACTTTAACTGGTGGCGTCTGGTTTGTGATAGGTGAAGATGATTTGTGGTGATTGACGGCGGTTCGTGGTTGTAAACGGTAGTCGACAGTGGCCTACGTCGATCGGAGGGTGTCGACGACGGTCGACGGTGGTCGACGGTTGTCGGCGGTAATCAACAGTTGTCAGCGGCCTTTGACGATAATAGCGATGGAATTGGACTTCAGCTCATTCTGAAAGCCTCAAGTTCTCTCTCAGGGCTCAAGCCCCTCTTCGAATGTAAGGAGTAGTATTTTATTTGTAATGTTTTGGGTGCAATTAATACATAAATATGAATCATTTTAATAAGACAGTTCAGAGAACTTTGTTTGATCAAAATGCGTTCGATAAACATTTTAGTGTCTTAATGATATCGGAATTGAGCAATCTTAGACTCGTTTGATTCGTTTCGTCAAAACGCTTTATTCGACTATGAACTCTTCAGATTGAGTGTCTATTTGACCTTCCAAATGTGCTCAAAAATTTTCTAAGAGTGGTTAATGACTTTATATGGCTTGATTTGACTTGGATTTAACTAGTTTTTATTTCATTAGGTTTGTCTATTGAGTCGATTGATTTGACCATAAGTTTGCTAAAATAGGAGTTTTATATAACTCTTAATTGAAGTCTGAATGTTTCTTGTTCAAAAAATTTCCTCAAAATTCGCGTTGATGCCGCGAGATTCATGTCGGATGATGGAGATTTGTTGAAGACATATTTATAATCTTTCTTAAATCTTGTTCCAATCTTTTTAGAGTCTTATTCTATTGAATTTTTTAATAAAGATCTAGTATGAATTAAATAAGAATTAAGTATTATTGTGTGTTAGACAATTCACAACGGTAGACTAATAATTAATATCTCAATGTTGTGTGAAATTTTAGCACTCGCTTAAATAACAGAAAAATAGTTAAAGGAGCCTCCAAGGCACTTTTGGAAAACCCCTATAATAAAAATAAATCATAGGGTCTAACTCAGTCAAAGTAATTACATATGTATAATAGTCATTTGCTTTAATGCTTGTAATTGGGCTACACAAAATGTAGTTATCAGTAATAATAACAAAAGTGTAGGCCAAATATCGTGGTTGGTCACTATAAAGGTAGTGCTTGGCAATAAATGTTGTAGTTTCTGGTTACAATAGCATCAGCTAGCCACGAAGGTCATAGTTTGAGACTGTAATAACATCAATTGACCATGAAAACCATAATTAAAAGTAGCAGTAGTAGTTGGTCACGTAGTCATAATTCGTCACATATATCGTGGTTGGTAGTTATAGTAGCCCACCATAGTAGGAAATTGTAGTAGTAATTGGCCACGTAGATCAAAGTTGGTGGTTGCAATTGTGTTAGTTGGTCGTAGAGGCCATAATGAGAAGTTACAAAAGTAACTGGCCACACAAACAAAGTTGGTAGCTATAAGAGTATCAATTGATCATAGGGGCGAAAGTGGAAGGTTGTGATGACAACAATTAGCCACATAAGTCGTATTGTGTAGCTGCAGCAATAACTGATCACATCGGTTATAATGGGTCCTACAGGAGCATCAGTCAGTCATAGAGGATGTAGTAAAATTTTGAAATGATGACATTTGGCTTCGCAGTTCATAGTTGGTGGCTATAATAGTCACTGGGTACATAGGTCGTAGTGGGTTGTTGTAGAAGTGTGTTGACCTCACTTTTGGTTGAGGTCTAGAAAACTTCTTTAGTAGCCTAGGTCTAGCCATAGGACTTTCCTATTGACTAGTCTTAGAAAACTAGAAGAGGTACCCCACTATTAGAAATTCAAAACTCTTTTTTTTATTCAACTTGAAATTCCACATATTGATCTTAACCTCTAGCATTTAGTAGGTAAGATCATTATAAGAGAATTTAAGAAGAATCCCTACAGGATTACTTGGCTTTAGGGTTGACCCGGGGTGTTGACTTGGAACTAAGATACACCACATCTTCACAATACATTAATCCATGGTTCATTTAGAATAGACATTTATCTAATTCTATGTGGAATGCTTAACTTGGTCTTTTGCCCCTAGGCACCTCCAAATTACCTAACTGCCCTTGTGACCCAAATTTGACTAATATTCCCAAATTTTTGCCAAAATACCCAAAATTGATTAAAACCAATTTCAAACACCTTGGATACATCCAAATTTGGCAAAATTTCCAAAAATGGCCAAATTACCAAAATACCCCTCCATGACCCAAAATCCAAAAATTCCAAAAATTCCCAATAAATCCCAATAAATCCAAAATATTCCCAATTTCATTTTACCCAACTACACCTTGGTCTAATTTGGTCAATATGACCATCTTTGACAAAATCCCCAAATTAGCCCCAA